ATATACGTAAAATATAAAATTGGGGATATATTTTCCGTGAAATACGGGAAATAACTGTGATACACTTTTTGGAAAACGGTTTGTGATAACTGTGAAAACTGTGAAAAACGGGGGGGGGGGGGGGGGGGTTTTTGGGGGGGGGGGGGGGGGGGGGGGGGTTGGGGGGGGGGTTTTGGGGGGGGGGGGGGGGGGGATGCACTGTGATATACTGTGATCCCACTGTGTATACGTGATATACTGTGTACTCTTAAATATACTGGGGGTACACTGTGATACACTGTAATAAAACTGTGAAATACGGTAAAAACACTGGGGAATACTGTAAATAAAACTGGATACACGTGATAAAACTGTAACACTGGAAAACCCTGTGATAACGTGATAACTGTGATACCCCTGTGATACACTATAAAATACTGTGATACATGTGATATACTGTGATACACTGTGATATTTTTTGATATACTGTGATACACTGGGAAAACCCCTGTGATATACTGTGATACACTGGATAAACTTGATACACTGTAAATTTTACTGTGATACACTGTGATACACAGTGATACACTGTGATAAAACTGTGATCACTGCGAACACTGTGAAAACACTGTTTTTCACGGGGTGAAATACTGTGATAAAACTGTGATACACTGGATACACGTAAAAACACTGTGAAATACTGGGAAAAACACGGTTAATACACTGGGTTACACTGTGATACACTGTGAAATACTGTGATACACTGGGGATACCTGGGGATAAAACTGTAAATCCACGGTGAAATACTGGGATACCTGTGAAACACTGTAAAATACTGTGTTAAAAACTTTTGATACACTGTAAATTACTGGGGATACACTGTTACACTGGAACACTGTGATACACTGGATAACGTGATCCCACTGTGAAAAACCCCGGGGTGAAAATACTGTAAAATACACTGTGATTTTACTTTTGATACACAGGATACACTGTGATAAAAACTTTTGATACACGTGATACACGTGTTTACCTGATTTTACGTAATACACTGTGATACACTGTAAATATTTTGTGATACACTTAAAATACACTGGAAATACTTTGAAACGCTGTGTTTCACGGGATACCCCTGTGGTACACTGTGTTTACACTGGATACACTGAAATACCTGATACACTGTAAAGGGCCCGGTGATAAACCCGGGTGAAATACTGTGATTTTCGGTGATACCCCGTGAAATGCTGGATACACGTGATACACTGTGATACACTGTGAAATACGTAATAAAACTGTGAAAACGGGATACACTGTGATACACGGTGATGTACTTTGTTTACACGTGATACACTGTATATCCTGTAAAAACACTGGGAAACACTGGATACACTATGAAATACGTGATAAAACTGTAAATATAGGTGATACACTGTGATATACTGTGATAAACTTTGAAAACCCCGGGAAATACACTGTATATACTGTGATACCTGTGATTTTCGTGATACCTGTGAAAAAACGGGAAATACACTGGGATACAAAATTGATACACTGTGATTACTGTGATCCACTGTGATACACTGTGAGGGCCCTGGATAAAACGGGATATACTGGGAATACCTTTTGATCACTGTAATACACGGGCGAAAAACTGTGAAATACCGGGATACACTTTTAACACTGTGATATACTGTGATACACTGTGATTTTCCTGTGATACACGGGTGAAACACTTGAAACACTGTGATGCACTGGGGATACACTGTGAAAACACTTGATACCCTGTGATATACTGGGGATACACTTTTGAAACCCCACTGTAAAAATACTGGATACACTGGATACACGCAAATACACTGGATACACGGGCACACTGTGAAATCCCTGTGAAAACACTGTGATACACTTTATATACTGTAAATCCCCTGTGAAAACTGTGAAAACACTGAAATTACTGTGATATACTGTGATACACGGGTTAAAACATTTTGATATACTGTGATACACTGGATACATTTGTGATCCACTGATATACTGGGTGCACCGGATACACTGTGATATACTTGATACACGTGATACACTGTGAAATACTGGACATACTGTGATTCATTTGGGGAAAACACTTGGTACACTGTGAAAAAACTGTGATATACTTTTAATAAAAGGGGGGGTGAAATATTTTGGGGATACCTGTATGAAACTGTGATACACTGTGATACACTGTGATTACGTGGAACACGGGGTACACGTGATACCTGTGAAAAAACGGAAAACACTGGGAATATCCCCGGGTTTACATTTGTGAACACTGTGATAAAACTGTGGTACACTGTGAACACTGTGATACACTTTTGAAATACTGTAATACACTGTGATATCCTTTTATACACTGTGATACACTGTGATATACTGTGATAAAACTGGGGGATACCGTGATATACTGTGAAAACTTTTAAACACTGGATACACTATGAAATACTGTGAAAACCTGTGATATACTGTGAAAACACTGTGATATACTGGGGATAATTACTGTAATACACTGTGAACACGGTGATATACTGTGTGCACTGTGATATACGAAATACACTGTAATACTGTGATAGCACTTTTGATACCCCGGGGAAACCTTGATATACGGGGAAACACTGCGATACACTGTGATACACGGTATCCCCCTGGAAATACTTTTGGATACACTGTGTACACTGTGATGCATTTTGATACACTGTGATATACTGTGATACACTGTGAAAACACTGTAAAATACTGGGTAAACTTAAATACACTGTGTTACACTGTGATACACTGGATATACTGTAAAACACTGTGAAAACACTGTTTAAAACTGGGATACACTGTGATATACTGTGATACACTGTGTACACTTGATACCTGTGATAACGCTGGTTTACCCTGGATGCACTGATACACTGTGATTTTACTGTGATACACTGGGGAACACTTTTGATAAACTGTGATACACGGTGATAAACGTGATACATTTAATTTATTTGTAATACACGGTTAACACTGTGATAACTGTAAATTACATTTGTGAACACTTGAAAAAACTGTGATACCTGTGATTCACTTTTATAGCACTGGGGTTACACTTTTAAACACTGTGAAAAAACGTGATATACCCCGTAAAAACGTGATGCACTGTGATACATTTAAAAAAAAATGTGAAAATACTGTGATCCCCGTAAAATCCTGTAAATAAAACTGTGATACACTGGGAAAAACACTGGGAAATACTGTAATTACTGTGATAAACTTTTATACACTGTATACACTGTGAAATAGGGTGGATACATGGGGATACACTGTGATATACTGTGATACACTGTGATAACTGTGATACACTAGGGAAATACTGTGATACGCGGTGATATAGTGTGAACACGGGATAATATACTGTGATACACTGTGATACAAAAGTGTTTACCCTGTGAAAAAACTGTGATACACGTGATACACTGTGAAACCCTGTGATACACTTTTTTACACTTTAAAAATTACGTGATACACTGTGAAACACTGGGGATACACTGTGAAAATACTTTTATACACTTTTAAATGCTGGGATACACTGTGATACACTTTTATTTTCTTGATACCCTGTGAAATACTGTGATACACTGGATACACTTGATACACTGTGATAAAACTTGATACACTGGGGGAACACGGGTATATACTGTGATACCCTGTGATGCCTGTGAAATCTTGAACACTGTGATACATTTGCGATAAAACCTGGTTACCCTGATACACGTGGTATACTTTTGATACACTGTGAAACATTTGTTATATACGGTGATACACGGTGATAAACTGTGATACACTGATAACGGTGATATGCTGTGAAACACTGTGTAAAAACTGGATAAAACGTGATACCCCCTGGGGATACACTTGATACACTGATATACTGTAAAAAAACACCGTGATACACTGGGGGAAATACTTGATACACTGTGTACACTGTGAAATACGTGACAAAACTGTGTTCCCACTTTTGATACACTTTTGGTACACTGTGAAATACGGTGATATACTGTGTACCCCTGTGATCACGTGAAAAACTGTGATAAAATTTTTGATAAAACTTTGATAAAACAGTGAAAAACCCGTGAAAACCTGTGATACACTGTGTAAAATGGGGATACCCCCTGTGATACCCTGTGATACAATGTAAACACTGTGATACACGGGAAAAAACCCTGTGATACACTTTGATACACGTGAAACACTGTGATCCCAATGTGAAACACTGTATCACTGTGATACCCGGGAATAACAACTGTGATACATTGTAAATATACTGGATATACTGTGATACACTGTGATACACTGTGATACACTGTGATATACTGTGATACACTGTGATACACTGTGATACACTGTGATACACTGTGATATACTGTGATACACTGTGATACACTGTGATACACTGTGATATACTGTGATATACGTCAAATACGGGACTGACAAACACCCATGGAGGACCTAAATATCTCGGTCACTTTCCTCCAGTATCTTGGTAATGTCTGAGGCATCAGTCACGGCTGATGGTCTGTCTTACCTTCTACACTCATTATAACAAATTATAAATTATCTAAAGCAATGTTAAAATGATTAGTTTTGATGTTTTTTAAAGCCCCATCACCATAAATTTATATATATATATATATATATATATATATATATATATATATATATATATATATATATATATATATATATATATATATATATATATATATAATATATAATATGTATATATATATATATATATATATATATATATATATATATATATATATATATATATATATATATATATATATATAATATATATATATATATATAATATATATATATATAATATTTATGTAGGGAATCCACTACCTATGGCATCCAGATAATTATTAATATAATACTTTGGTTTATATCTACGTTGTTATTGCTATACTAATTAGGTGAAGCGGTAAACCCGTGCGGGTTCATTCGTAGCTATAACCACGACTCCACACACTCGCTGATGTTGTCAGCGGGTCGTCGTAGTTTCCAGCGCTGCTACGTTTCCCTCACTCTTCTAAACACGTTTTTCCTCCCCTCCCAAAAAAAAAGGGGGGGGCTTGTTTTGATGCAGGACTTGGGCTTTTGGTTCAAGGTATTGTAGTTCACCCTTCCCTTCATTGGATCAAACCTGTTTGTTGTAGCATTCCTCTCTGCCTTCAAGAGAGAGCTGGACAGATACCTAAAGTCAGTGTCGGATCAGCCGGGCTGTGGCTCGTACGTTGGACTGCGTGCGGCCAGCAGTAACAGCCTAGTTGATCAGGCCCTGATCCATCGGGAGGCCTGGTCATGGACCGGGCCGCGGGGGCGTTGATCCCCGGAATAACCTCCAGGTAGCCCCCCCCCACCACCTGTAGTAGCTGTGTTATCCTTACGGGCTTAGCGCTTCCCCATGAACATAATAAATATGTCAATGTAATAAAAAATAAAAGAAAAACTTTCGTTTTTCTTGTTAGGTCACCAGGTCACACCAGGTCAAACCAGGTCACGCCAGGTCACACCAGGTCACCAGGTCACACCAGGTCAAACCAGGTCAAACCAGGTCACGCCAGGTCACACCAGGTCACCAGGTCACACCAGGTCGCCAGGTCACCCTGCCTCGGTGGGATACGGCCGTATTTTGGGGAAAAAATTTGAAAAGCTCACCCTACACTCGTCTCGCTTCTTCAGATTCACTTCTGAGCAAATATTCCTCCATGCGCACAAGAAACTCCAGACAAAATGCAATTATATGAAGAGTGAATAAGCCATTTGTATACACGTCTTTAAGACCTATCGTTACTATCAACTTTGCTCCAAGCGTGTCTTCTTTCAGACATGTGGATACAATGAATTTTGTGGTAATTATCTTCTAGGATCTGTAATGAATTAAACACACGCAACATCTGGCTATTTTTTAAAAAAATCAAGATACCCAGGTGTTGCACATGTGCCTAGTTCATCAGCTAAATTTACGGCATTGTGTACCATTAATATAATGTGAAGGTGATAAAGGCACTCGTGTGTGACTTGATCAATTACAGTTTACTGGTATTCCCATACCATCTACTGTTACGGTTTATCTCGGACCTGTGCTGAATATATTCTCTGGCTAAGCTCCTTGTGATGTGTGTCTTCTGGGTTTGTTGGGGAGAATCTGAGCGTGAGGGTAGAGTCTCTTTATAAGCTGAGCTCGTGGGTCTTTACGTATCATTTCCGTGTCCTCCTCCTGGTCGAATATACTATCTTCGATTTCCGCCAGTGGGTCTTTGGCGGTCCCACCTTCGTCACTAGCGCCACTGGGACTTCTTAATTTGGCTGGGTCTTGTGGGGGTGTTGGATCCTCATCCTCCTTCGGCTCTGCTTCGTTCTTCTGGTCTGGAGAAGGAGTGGAGACCAGAAAGAGTGTCATCTCCACTTGGTCATTGGATGACACGGTGTTTACCACCTGGTGCTCCTCTAGACGAGATTCTTCAATATAGGAGCGCTGAGTGGCTTCCTCAGTGAGGACGAGATTACTTTCCTCACTCTGTGTCTCCTCCTCATCTTCCACTCCTTCGGAATCAAGAGGAGAAGAAGGTCGATGAACAAGAGGTCTAAATGCCGGGGTTTTCTCCTGGACCTCCAGAATACCGGCATTAGTTATGAGGCTGATGGGAGGTTCTGGAGACTCCGCCTCCACTACGATAGAGTTCGTAATGCTCTCCTCCGATGTAGGTCTCACCGTCAGGTCTATGGAGTTGTGCGTCTGCGGCGGCTTCTCCTCCACTGTCTCAACGTCGTCTGGGAAGACGGGAACTAATTCAGCGTGTTCGTTGTCCCTGTTGCTGTCTTGCGGTAGTTCGTAAAAATGGCTCTGGATGACTTCGGCGTGAGGGTAGAGGCCATCAAGGTCCTTAGTCGTGTTTTCCTGTATCCTGTGAACGACTGAGGTCACCGTGTTCTCCGGCGGTTTGTGGAACAGTTGCGAGTTGGCAAAGGACTCCTGGATGGCCTGAACCTGCGACAGGACTCCCAGGATATCTGAGGGACGCGGATCTTCTGGCTGGTTGTTGATCTGATTCAGCGACGAGGGCGGCGTCTTGTCCAGGATTTCGGCGAACGGGTGGATCTGCTGAATGACTTCGATACCTGAAGGCGTCGAATCTTCTGACGTGGGCTTCTGGAGCGACCCTTGGTCGTCCTGTTGCAACAGTTGGCCGTACACCTCAGCCTGAGCGACGCAAGACTTCACGTCACCACCAAGGACAAGGCAGGCGTGCAGCAGGGAGTAGTTGGGAGCTACAGTGGTTTCCGGAAGGTTTCCAGCCTGGGAGGACGAGTCAGTGGTCAGTTCAGGCCAGGGGATGGGTAGACTGCTGTGTTCGGTAGTGGGCCGGGGCACGGGGATGGGCGGTAGGTGCGGCAAGATCGACTGACCGGGCATGGGCGTCGAACTCCTGTAATGTACGATCAGAATGTTATATGAATGGCTGCTCTCTCTCTCTCTCTCTCTCTCTCTCTCTCTCTCTCTCTCTCTCTCTCTCTCTCTCTCTCTTCTCTCTCTTCTCTCTCTCTCTCTCTCTGTCTCTGTCTCTGTCTCTGTCTCTGTCTCTCTCTCTCTCTCTCTCTCTCTCTCTCTCTCTCTCTCTCTCTCTCTCTCTCTCTCTCTCTCTCTCTCTCTCTCTCTCTCTCTCTCCTCTCTCTCTCTCTCTCTCTCTCTCTCTAAACAATATAATTATTAGCAATAATTACCTTTATATTCATTTAATTTTACTGATATTTATATATAATTATGTTAATACGTTATTATCTTTATTTATTCAAATATATTACAAGTATTCCCATTTGTATTTATTATATATGTAAGTTAAAAAAGGTCGAAGGAGAGTCAAAATTACCGTTGTAACAACAGTAATCGACAAGTCACTGTTGTCACCTCAGCTGTGATTTGCATTGTCTTGGTCACATATTTTTTATTTTGTAATAATTTATTGCGTGCATTTCTCTCTCATTTAAATTTAATAATTTATTAAGCAATGCCAGCTGTAGTAAGAATGAGTTTACACTGTGTATATAACGTGTGTTAGTCAACTGGTGTGGGTGGCATCCTGGGGAAGAGGATTAAATGAGCACACTGGAAGTAAGCCAGTGTCTTTACTGGGTTATCCTGGGTTAATAACCCACCTAACAAAATCTTAGGGTTGGTCGTACAAGCTGAGTTGTCCATTGCATAGGGAAGCGATAAACCCTCAAGGATCACCGTCTGGGGAATGGAAGGTAGTCAAGTTTAACTAGCATCAAGGCTTATATAAGCCTGCTTTTAATTAGGCCTAATACGTAATACGAAGCAGTTCCTGTGGCTTTAATTAGCATATTACAAAGTATATGACCAAAGATCTTTTTTTTTTTTTATTCACCGGTATTCTCCCGGCCCGGGTCTTTTCCAAGTAGTGGTGACCCGGCCTTGGCTCCCTATCTGGGGAGCGTCTCGAGACTTAAGTCTCCCATGGGAGGAGGGACAAGTACCCCCTCATCTTTGGGACCAAGTGTCCCCAGGCCTAGCCACATTCCCCGCCCTCACGGGGCTCGTAGGGAGAAGCTAGGCCTCTGGTCTGCCATCTACCCCGCCTCAAAGGGGCTCGTGGGCCTAAGATCATCCAGTGAAGTCGTTGATATATAACAATCTGGACACTCCCAGGGGAGGCGCGTCGTTACAAGACGGGCTCTTGATCCAGGGAAATGAACCTCACCTCCCCTTCTGAATTATTAACAACCATAAGATAATATTTATATTTATTATTATTATTACTGGCTGTAAACAGCCATTAAAAAATAATCAAATTACCCATCCGAACTGCAACTAAAATACCAAATTGTACAATGAAATCAAAATATTAAATTAATTTACTAGGTGCTACATAATTTTATGTAAATATTATTTTAATTTTAAATACTTTTAAAACAACTTTCAAAATAATTAATAAACTAATAATTTGCTTTTTAATGATACAAACAAAAAATAAAATATAACTTTGTGTATAATTAAATAAAGGTTAAAGTTATCTGATAATCAACAAATTTTTAACTGATCTCCGTTGCTCTATTTAACTGCAAAAATACAGCCGCTGTGGTTATATTGTCTCAGAGAAATAATATAATCAGTTAATCGAGAGAATATATGAAATTATAATACAGACTTATGTAGGATGGCTCAGGAGGCAGCTAAATTATTGGTACCTGTGTCCACTAACATCTGTTTACCAGGGAGTGAGTCAGCTGTGTGATGGCATCTGTTGTACCTGTTTGCTTAACAGTAATGGGTATCTGGGTGTTAGTTCTAGGTACCTGGGGTGCTCTACGTACTTGGAGGTTGGTACTAAGTACTTGGGTGTTAGTACTAGGTACCTCATTGCTAGTCTTACGTACCTAGGTGTTAGTACTAGGTACCTGGGTGTTACTACTAGGTACCTGGGTGTTACTACTAGGTACCTGGGTGTTACTACTAGGTACCTGGGTGTTAATACTAGGTACCTTGGTGTTAATACTAGGTACCTTGGTGTTAATTAATAGTATGTACTTGGGTGTTACTACTAGGTACCTGGGTGTTAATACTAGGTATCTGGGCATTACTACTAGGCACCTGGGTGTTACTACTAGGTACCCGGATGTTAATACTAGGTATCTGGGCATTACTACTAGGTACCTGGGTGTTACTGCTAGGTACCTGGGTGTTAATACTAGGTATCTGGGTATTACTACTAGGTACCTGGGTGTTACTACTAGGTACCTGGGTGTTAATACTAGGTATCTGGGTTTTACTACTAGGTACCTGGGTGTTAATACTAGGTATCTGGGTATTACTACTAGGTACCTTGGTGTTACTACTAGGTACCTGGGTGTTAATACTAGGTATCTGGGCATTACTACTAGGTACCTTGGTGTTACTACTACGTACCTGGGTGTTACTACTATGTATCCGGGTATTACTACTAGGTACCTGGGTGTTACTACTAGATACCTGGGTGTTAATACTAGGTATCTGGGTATTACTACTAGGTACTTGGGTGTTACTACTAGGTACCTGGGTGTTAATACTAGGTATCTGGGTATTACTACTAGGTACCTGGGTGTTACTACTACGTACCTAGGTGTTACTACTAGGTATCTGGGTATTACTACTAGGTACCTGGGTGTTACTACTAGGTACCTGGGTGTTAATACTAGGTATCTGGGCATTACTACTAGGTACCTGGGTGTTACTACTGGGTACCTGGGTGTTAATACTAGGTACCTGGGTGTTACTACTAGGTACCTGGGTGTTACTACTAGGTACCTGGGTGTTAATACTAAGTGGTGACAGGACAAGCCAGTGGAAGGCCTCGGTCAGATGACCAAAAGCTCCAGCTGTGGATCATCATATGATTAAGACCCGCGTCAGGAAACACTTATTTCCTGACAAACTTGACCTAACGTAAATACAGTTACAGGGGTCGAGTTTTAGCTCCTGGCCCCTCTGTGTGTGTTTATGACCATTTATCTGAGAATCAGCGTAAAACCCATAAACAAACGATTTTTAGGACCGAATATATATATAATATATATATATATATATATAATATATATATATATATAATATATATATATATATATATATATATATATATATATATACATACATTACAGTTGTTATAAGTATGACTTACCGTTGTTGGACAAGTGTGTCAGTATGAGGTCGTCGCTCTAGCGTTAAGAAGAGGGAATAATGAAGAGATTAATACAAGTGCACAAGTGCAGGTGTTGTTGCAGGTGTTGCTGTGAGTGATTGATGACTTGCAAGAGTGTTGCAACTACCAGCTACCAGCAGGTGATTACTACTATTGTTGTTGCAGTGATAATGACAACATCAGTGATGATATATTTAAAATTATTATTATTATTATTATTATTATTATTATTATTATTATTATTATTATTATTATTATTATTATTATTATTATTATTATTATATTTGTATAATAAATACTTTCATAAATATTTATTTTTAAATAATTATTCTTATCATCACTATTACCGTCATTATCTTTTTTTATTTTAATAATTTTTTTTAATAATTGAGTTATTATTATCATCAATATGATTAAAATTATCCCTAAAATATTTATTATATTATTATGATTATATTATTATTAGCATGATTATATTTTTAATTGATTTTCAATGATTATTAATTATAATTAATTGTATTATTATTAATTATTGTTATAAGTATTGGTATTATTATTGATAATACCTCTGCTTTGACTTTATTACCATCACTACTGCTACCACCACCACTGCTACCACCACTACCACCATCATTACCACCACTACTACCACCACTACCACCACCACCAACACATCGACACCAATGCCCAGCCCTTCTAGGGCAGGGTAGGTGCCCTGAGCCCGAGCTTGCAGCTCACAAGACTGTTATTCCCATTAGTCCTCTTGGGGCGGGGATGGCAGACCAGAGAGGCCTAGCTTGTGGCTAGGCCTGGGGACAGTTGGTCCCAAAGATGAGGAGGTACTTGTGCCTCCTCCCATGGGAGACTTAGGTCTCAGACACTCCCTAGACAGGGAGCCAAGGCCGGGCCACCACTTGGAATAGGCCCGGGCCGGGAGAATACCGGCGAATCTTTAATAATAATAAATAATAATAACCACCACCACTACCACAATCACCACCACTACCACAATCACCACCATTACCACAATCACCACTATTACCACAATCACCACCATCACCACCACTACCACAATCACCACCATTACCACAATCACCACTATTACCACAATCACCACCATTACCACAACCACCACAATCACCACCATTACCACAATCACCACCATTAACACTACCACCACCACTACCACAGTCACCACCATTACCACAGTTACCACCATTACCACAATCACAACAATTACCACAATCACCACAATTACCACAATCACCACCATTACCACAATCACTACCATTACCACAATCACTACCATTACCAGAGTTACCACAATTAAAATAGCCAAATATTCTATTTCCCATTTTTTTCTAAACTAACTTACCTTAGCTCCTCTCAAGGCCTCTACATCAGTATGATAAATGTATGCAATACAGACAGGTTGATGAGACACGTGTGCAACAGTTAGGTATATTGATTATTGCTGACTGTGGAGCAGATCTCTTCTCCAGGCTGAAGGACTGACCACCTCAAAGCTACGTCTTCAAGAATGATGGACTGATTACATCGTCTTTACGTCTCTACTGCCTCTGCTATCTCGGCATTCGACTGAAGAGGCCTACTGTGTAGGCGAAACGTTTCGGAATAAAGATTCCTAACTGTCTTATTACGTCTACAAGAAGTCTATTACAGAGTTACCCACTGATGTAGGATTCCTGCTGTTTGAGAAGGCTTTCTGCTTCAGGGTGCTGCACCTGCTACAAGAAGCCCCCTACTTCACCGTAGCCCCCTGTTGCAGGAAGCTTCCTGCTTCAGGAAACCTACTGCGATAAACCTCCTCCCTACAAACACCCTCTCAACACGCACATTCCACCTAAGTCATCTCCTACCACAGGCTTTCTACTGCTCTATATAATACTTGAACTACCTCATGTGTTTCCCAAAGACTGTCTATTGCTCTGTTAACGCTGTAACCTGTTTGACTTCCCTCTAAGCTTACTATTGCTCTATAAAGCTATAATCACCTGCTTGCGTTTCCTTTAAGCTTTCTATTGCTCTATGGATGCTGTGATTATGTGAGTGTGTCTCCTGGAACTCGCCTTCTTGTTAGACGTGGGATTCAAACCGACATTAGTCTCGCTAGGGGAATTCTTTGGTCCTCTTCCGTTTGTCCCGTTATGGGACCCTACTTTGTTCCACTTTTGTTTGCCCCGCTGTGGGATTTCTCTGTTGCTCTTCTGTTTGTTCCATTGTGGGTCTTCTCTCTTCTTCTGCTGTTTGCTTTCCTTTGTGACAGCCGCAGAGTTTCAGCAGAGTTATTCTTCCTTAATTACGGCTGAGGCAGACACCACAAGATTACACTGACCGGTCATCTTGGGCGATACGTTGTTGGGCGATACGTTGTTGGGCAATACGTAGTTGGGCGATATCTATGAACTTATGTTTTTTTGATTAGTGATTAACATGCATTTAACGAGAGAGAGAGAGACAGAGAGAGAGAGAGAGAGAGAGAGAGAGAGAGAGAGAGAGAGAGAGAGAGAGAGAGAGAGAGAGAGAGGGAGAGAGAGTTAGTTTTAACTGCAGATAATACCCTCCGCACTACTGTAATTGAATAGTCCAGAAAAAAATACAGCGATTTATATAGTCAAGAAAATATATATGATAATTTTTTTTCGACATGCATGATGTGTTTAATACATGCAGTGGTAAATATCACTGAGTGTGGATGATATCTTTGTATCTGTATGTATGATTGTATGACAGCCGGGCCAGGGGAAATAGTATATATGTTATATATATATATATATATAATATATATATATATATATATATATATATATATATATATATATATATATATATATATATATATTATCGTAATTATAGAAGAAAGCAAGTCACAATACCATGCCTGGAACAATTCACAATTCTCAATACCGTGGCTGGAACAATTCACAGCCAACACTGTAACTGGAGAACTGTGAACTGTGAAGAATTGGAAGTTATCCATACATATGTACACACATAGACACAGAGGAAAGTGTACACCCAGGGCATGCACGCAGACAGAGATACTAATCTATAATAGATTATACGTACTCGGGGCTAGCCGAGGACAGATTTGCCAAGATGTCCCAGATGTTAGCGTCCACTGCCACAACACCTCCGAGTAGTGTATCCGTTGTGGAGGACGGCCTGGCTGAGGCGAAGTCTGGGAAAGTAGCGAAGGTAGCTTCAGCGAGGTTGTCCGAGCCTTCGGGTACCGTCGTGGGCTCTTCGGTGGGCGTCTCCGTCGTATCCTCCGCCGGAACCGTGGAAGTTTCCGCATCGGGGGACATGTCTTCAGGAGTCTGTTCGGTAGCGGTGACCGGCGGTTCCGTCGATTCCGTCGGTTCCGTCGGTTCCGTCGGTTCCGTCGGTTCCGTCGGCTCCGTCATTTCTCCCTCCGGGGATAAAGTCGTTTCCCCGTCAGGCGCCACTGTTGGGTCGGTCGGGTCTCCTGCTTCTCCTTGAAGCGGAGACTCCGTCGATCCCGTTGATTCCCCGTCTGTCACATCTGTTGTATCTGTTGCATCTGTTGTGTCGGTGATGTCTGTTGTTGTCGGAGTATCCGTCGAGTTCTCCAAGTCGAAGTCGTCGACCTGGGCAGCAGCGAAGATGGGCGGAATGGCTGGAGAGAAATAAGAAAGTGTGTTAAATACCCGGTATTAGTCACGCAGTCCCAGAGACATTAAATCGGGCAAAGGAACATTGATTACTGTGGCTCAGTTGGTAGCGACTTCAACTCATATAGTGAGGGTTCGATCCCCGGCACGGGTGGAAACGTTGGGCGTATTTCCTTACACCTGCTGCCCCTGTTCACCTAGTAGTAAGTAGGTACCTGGGTGTTAGTTTACTGGTATGGGTGGCATCCGAGGAGTTGGAGAGCACAAGAAATTCAAAAAACCCATAGGGGCAGTTCATTTGAATGCTTACCCCCATAGGGGGAACCCAAAAACTTGATCCGAGGAGATAGAGATCACAAGAAAATGAAATTCAAAAAAAAATTGAAAAAAATCGGAAAAATATTCGGGGAGCGGGGGCGATCCGGACGACGCTGCAGAAGGCACTGCAGAAGGCGCGCGGGCGGGCGCACGGGCGGGCGCGCGGGTGGGGGCGTGGGCAGGCGTGAGGTGGTCGAGGGTGAGGTGGTCGAGGGTGAGGTGGTCGTGGGTGAGGTGGTCGTGGGTGGGGGGCGCGGGTGGGGTGGGGCGAGGTGGTCGAGGGTGAGGTGGTCGAGGGTGGGGGGCGCAGGTGCGGTGGGGCAAGGTGGTCGAGGGTGAGGTGGTCGAGGGTGAGGTGGTCGAGGGTGGGGGGCGCGGGTGGGGTGGGGCGAGGTGGTCGAGGGTGAGGTGGTCGAGGGTGAGGTGGTCGAGGGTGGGGGGCGCGGGTGGGGTGGGGCGAGGTGGTCGAAGGTGAGGTCAAGGTCATTAGCATAAAGGTGTTAAAAGGCGGCATCCTTTGATGAGCCATACCGTGGAAGCCCTAGACCGGAAGTAACACCTAGGTGTTACTTCCGAGCCATACTGTAGAAATCTTCACTACTAACAGCATCCTGGGATAACAGCATCCTGGGATAACAGCATTCTGGGCTAACAACATTCTAGGCAACAGCATCCTGGGATAACAGGATAACAGCATTATAAGTTAACAGCATCCTGGGATAACAGCATTCTGAGCTAACAGCATCCTGGGATAACAACATACTGGAATACCAGCATCCCGGGTTACCAGTTCGTAGCCTCTAAATTCAGCTGTATGTATGTGTAGTCACACCTTGGCTTCAGGTCACCTCTCAACTTCAGGTCACACCCTAACTTCAGGTCCCACCTTCTCTTCAGGTCCCACCTTGGCTTCAGGTCCCACCTTGGCTTCAGGTCCCACCTTCTCTTCAGGTCCCACCTCTTCAGATCCCACCTTCTCTTCAGGTCCCACCTTGGCTTCAGGTCCCACCTTGGCTTCAGGTCCCACCTTGACTTCAGGTCCCACCTTGGCTTCAGGTCACACCTGGGATGGCCATACCTCACCCGTGAGTCACACGGGCGACACCCAAACATAAATTTGACAAATAATAAACATTCTCTTCGTTTTCTCCCAAAGTTTAGCGCGATTCATCATGCTCAATATTACGGCCATTATAGAAAATATTTTATGATCGTCTATCATACATGTCTTGCTTTTAAATCATACACAACACACATGATAAATAATGATTCAAAACCACTTGAGTTTTATATACATGTATATATATATATATATATATATATATATATATATATATATATATATATATATATATATATATATATATATATATATATATATATACTATATATATAACTATGCAAAACAACCACTCTGAAAGAATAGAGAAATTCCAAGCGCTTTCGTGACTACTCACATTATCATTATCATTATTCTTTCAGAGTGGTTGTTTTGCATATTTTGAAATCACCTGTTTACTGTGATCTTATTGCATATATAACTATATATGCAAGGAATTCGCAAGAGCAGGCGAAATATACACAAACACTGATCTCTGGCTGAAAGAGACTCGAACCTACGAACCATGGAACAAGGTACGCAGTGCTTTACCAATCTACCCACACTGGACCAATACCTTGGAGTCCAGCTTTCGCTAGACTTTGATCCAAGGCAGCCAGCTTTCAGGGAGAAGGCTTACAGGTTTTCATCTCATCCCCTGCATGCATCAGCCTTACTAGAGATATTAACAATGCAAGGAATTCGCAAGAGCAGGCGAAATATACACAAACACTAGAGATATTAACATTGTTAATACCTGTCGGTATTGTATACCATTTTGATGTTCAAGTTAAATGATGTAGAACTTAGCCATACAGATTGCGAAAAGGACTTGGGGGTTATGGTGAGCAGCAACCTTAAACCAAGACAGCAATGCCTAAGCGTACGTAATAAGGCAAATAGATTACTGGGATTTATATCAAGAAGTGTGAGCAACAGAAGTCCAGAGGTCATACTGCAGCTTTATACATCATTAGTAAGACCTCACCTAGATTATGCAGCTCAATTCTGGTCTCCATATTACAGAATGGACATAAATTCGTTAGAAAACATTCAGCGTAGGATGACTAAATTAATACATAGCATTAGAAATCTTCCTTATGAAGAAAGATTGAAAACTCTTAAGTTACATTCACTTGTTAGACGAAGAATGAGGGGAGACCTGATCGAAGTGTATAAGTGGAAGACAGGTATTAATAAAGGTGATATTAATAAGGTCCTGAGGATATCTCTCCAAGAGAGAACCCGCAGTAATGGATTTAAATTAGATAAGTTTAAATTTAGAAAGGACATAGGAAAGTATTGGTTTGGAAATAGGGTAGTTGATGAGTGGAACAGTCTACCTAGTTGGGTTATTGAGGCTAGGACTTTGGGTAGTTTCAAATTTAGGTTGGATAAGTACATGAGTGGGAGGGGTTGGATTTGACTGGGACTTTCACATCAGAGCTTATTTCTTGGGTAGCATTGGAAATTGGGTTGGGCAAATGTTTTGTTAGTGAGATGAATTGTAAAGGACCTGCCTAGTATGGGCCAACAGGCCTGCTGCAGTGTTCCTCATTTCTTATGTTCTTAAATTCCAAGCGGTTTCGTGACTACTCACATTATAATGTGAGTAGTCACGAAAGCGCTTGGAATTTCTCTATTCTTTCAGAGTGGTTGTTTTGCATATATATATATATATATATATAATATAAATATATATATATATATATATATATATATATATATATATATATATATATATATATATAATATATATATATATATATATTTATTATCACACTGGCCGATTCCCACCAAGGCAGGGTGGCCCGAAAAAGAAAAACTTTCACCATCATTCACTCCATCACTGTCTTGCCAGAAGGGTGCTTTACACTACAGTTTTTAAACTGCAACATTAACACCCCTCCTTCAGAGTGCAGGCACTGTACTTCCCATCTCCAGGACTCAAGTCCGGCCTGCCGGTTTCCCTGAACCCCTTCATAAATGTTACTTTGCTCACACTCCAACAGCACGTCAAGTATTAAAAACCATTTGTCTCCATTCACTCCTATCAAACACGCTCACGCATGCCCGCTGAAAGTCCAAGCCCCTCGCACACAAAACCTCCTTTACCCCTTCCCTCTAACCTTTCCTAGGCCGACCCCTACCCCGCCTTCCTTCCACTACAGACTGATACACTCTTGAAGTCACTCTGTTTCGCTCCATTCTCTCTACATGTCCGAACCACCTCAACAACCCTTCCTCAGCCCTCTGGACAACAGTTTTGGTAATCCCGCACCTCCTCCTAACTTCCAAACTACGAATTCTCTGCATTATATTCACACCACACATTGCCCTCAGACATGACATCTCCACTGCCTCCAGCCTTCTCCTCGCTGCAACATTCATCACCCATGCTTCACACCCATATAAGAGCGTTGGTAAAACTATACTCTCATACATTCCCCTCTTTGCTCCAAGGACAAAGTTCTTTGTCTCCACAGACTCCTAAGTGCACCACTCACCCTTTTCCCCTCATCAATTCTATGATTCACCTCATCTTTCATAGACCCATCCGCTGACACGTCCACTCCCAAATATATGAATACATTCACCTCCTCCATACTCTCTTCCTCCAATCTGATATCCAATCTTTCATCACCTAATCTTTTTGTTATCCTCATTACCTTACTCTTTCCTGTATTCACTTTTAATTTTCTTCTTTTGCACACCCTACCAAATTCATCCACCAATCTCTGCAACTTCTTTTCAGAATCTCCCAAGAGCACAGTGTCATCAGCAAAGAGCAACTGTGACAACTCCCACTTTATGTGTGATTCTTTATCTTTTAACTCCACGCCTCTTGCCAAGACCCTCGCATTTACTTCTCTTACAACCTCATCTATAAATATATTAAACAACCATGGTGACATCACACATCCTTGTCTAAGGCCTACTTTTACTGGGAAATAATTTCCCTCTTTCCTACATACTCTAACTTGAGCCTCACTATCCTCGTAAAAACTCTTCACTGCTTTCAGTAACCTACCTCCTACACCATACACCTGCAACATCTGCCACATTGCCCCCCTATCCACCCTGTCATACGCCTTTTCCAAATCCATAAATGCCACAAAAACCTCTTTAGCCTTATTTAAATACTGTTCACTTATATGTTTCACTGTAAACACCTGGTCCACACACCCCCTACCTTTCCTAAAGCCTCCTTATTCATCTGCTATCCTATTCTCCGTCTTACTCTTAATTCTTTCAATAATAACTCTACCATACACTTTACCAGGTATACTCAACAGACTTATCCCCCTATAATTTTTGCACTCTCTTTTGTCCCCTTTGCCTTTATACAAAGGAACTATGCATGCTCTTTGCCAATCCCTAGGTACCTTACCCTCTTCCATACATTTATTAAATAATTGCACCAACCACTCCAAAACTATATCCCCACCTGCTTTTAACATTTCTATCTTTATCCCATCAATCCCGGCTGCCTTACCCCCTTTCGTTTTACCTACTGCCTCACGAACTTCCCCCACACTCACAACTGGCTCTTCCTCACTCCTACAAGATGTTATTCCTCCTTGCCCTATACACGAAATCACAGCTTCCCTATCTTCATCAACATTTAACAATTCCTCAAAATATTCCCTCCATCTTGCCAATACCTCTAACTCCCATAAAACTCTGCCTCTCCTATTTTTAACTAATATATTATATATTATATATATATATTATACATAATATAATATATGATATATATATATATCATATATATATAAGTACTATATTATGAACATGACTCCCACGAGCCATAATAATAATAATAATAAAATAATAACTTACCTCCAAAGCTCAAACGACGATACAGAAGATGAAGAAGATGAGGAAGATGGAAGATGAGAAGATGATCCATCTGAAACTCCTCGCCTCTCCCTCTCAAGAAGATAAAGATTGAAGAGCTAAGCCACTGAAGATGGCTCAGAGGAACCACCTGTCAAGGTGAAGATCCTCTGTTAACATCTATATTACCCATTGTTATTCACACTTTATTAGTATGTTAATTGCGGTACCTGCAGGTATTCACTTCGTTACCACAGCTTATTACTAACCTACGCTGAGTTATATATCTTTATTACTCTGGTGTCACCTACTAGATTAGAAAACGTAGGTAGGAGCTACGTGGAGTTAGTCAGGAGAAGTAACATCTGGGCGTCTGTACTGCCATATTAATGGCTCCAGAGTTATCTAATAACACCCAGCTTGAATCTGTGTTTGTTATTGATGCTGTGTCATTACTGATGGCTCTTGGCTGGATAAGATAACAACATGCTCACTGGAGAAGCCAGATAAACTGCTCATGAGAAGCCAGACTTAACAACATAGAGCTATCTGGAGAAGCCAGACTACAACATTGCCAGTGAGAGCCAGACTAACAACATGCTCACTGGAGAACCAGACTAACAACATGCTACTGGAGAAGCCAGACTAACATGCTCACTGGAGATGCCAGCTAACAACTATGCTCACTGGAGAAGCCAGACTAACAACATGCTCACTGGAGAAGCCAGACTAACAACATGCTCACTGGAGAAGCCAGACTAACAACATGCTCACTGGAGAAGCCAGACTAACAACATGCTCACTGGAGAAGCCAGACTAACAACATGCTCACTGGAGAAGCCAGACTAACAACATGCTCACTGGAGAAGCCAGACTAACAACATGCTCACTGGAGAAGCCAGACTAACAACATGCTCACTGGAGAAGCCAGACTAACAACATGCTCACTGGAGAAGCCAGACTAACAACATGCTCACTGGAGAAGCCAGACTAACAACATGCTCACTGGAGAAGCCAGACTAACAACATGCTCACTGGAGAAGCCAGACTAACAACATGCTCACTGGAGAAGCCAGACTAACAACATGCTCACTGGAGAAGCCAGACTAACAACATGCTCACTGGAGAAGCCAGACTAACAACATGCTCACTGGAGAAGCCAGACTAACAACATGCTCACTGGAGAAGCCAGACTAACAACATGCTCACTGGAGAAGCCAGACTAACAACATGCTCACTGGAGAAGCCAGACTAACAACATGCTCACTGGAAGCCAGACTAACAACATGCTCACTGGAAAGCCAGACAACAACATGCTCACTGGAGAAGCCAGACTAACAACATGCTCACTGGAGAAGCCAGACTAACAACATGCTCACTGGAGAAGCCAGACTAACAACATGCTCACTGGAGAAGCCAGTTTCAGATACTCAAATTACTCCTTTATGCTAATTAGATAAGTTACTTAAAATAATAATAATAATAATAATAATAATAATAATAATAATAATAATAATAATAATAATAATAATAATAATATTAATAATAATAATAATAATAATAATAATAATAATAATAATAATAATAATAATAATAATAATAATAATAATATTATTATTAATAATAATAATAATAATAATAATAATAATAATAATAATAATAATAATAATAATAATAATAATAATAATAATAATAATAATAATATGAGCAGGATTCAAAGCGACATTAAAGTTAAAATAAATCCCGTTAAGGGTGGAGAATTATCAATAATTTCTCTATTGAAAAACATGTTGTAAACCCGTATGTATCACACAGCAAGTGAACTGTGTAGTTTGTTTATGTATGGGTCAGACAGGAAGGTCTGAACTACAGGTTTACAGCACTGAATCATTGCTACACACACACAGTGTGTATCACAGGGATGTTAGGAAGTACTTCTTCAGTTATACAGTTGTCAGGAAGTGGAATAGTCTGGAAAGTGATGTTGTGGAGGCAGGATCCATACATAGCTTAAAGAAGAGGTATGGAGCAGGGAGAGAGTGGACCTAGTAGCTACCAGTGGAGAGGCGGGGCCAGGAGCTGTGGCTTTTCAATATTAAGAAAGAGTAAAACTAGCTTCATTTACCTTGGCTGAGGCTGCCAGGCTGCCAGGCTGCCAGGCTGCCAGGCTGCCAGGCTGCCAGGCTGCCAGGCTGCCAGGCTAGGCACGGTAACTACCGATGCTGGACTGCCTCCCGTAACCACCGTAGCACAATTACATGCGCTCTGATGACTAACTAAATTACAATATTAACAAATAAAAGAATTATTTTGGGATGTCTGGCCAGCTTCCTTCTCTCTCTCTCTCTCTCTCTCTCTCTCTCTCTCTCTCTCTCTCTCTCTCTCTCTCTCTCTCTCTCTCTCTCTCTCTCTCTCTCTCTCTCTCTCTCTCTCTCTCACACACACACACATCTTGGGGTGAGCATCATTCCAAGCACATCTCCTCAGGCACACATCAACTAAATAACTGCTGCAGCACATGGAAGCACGGCACACCTGAGAACAGCGTTACGACAACTAAGTAAGGAGTCATTCACCACACTGTACACCTTGTACGTCAGGCCCATACTCGAGTATGCAGCACCAGTATGGAACCCACACCTGCTCAAGTACGTCAAGAAATTGGAGAAAGTGCAGAGGTTCGCAGCAAGACTAGTCCCGGAGCCAAGAGATATATCCTATGAAGAGAGGTTAAAGGAACTGAATCTGATGGCACTGGAAGACAGGACTAAGGTGGATATGATAACGACGTACAAAATACTGAGAGGAATTGACAAGATGGGCAGGGCCGGAATGTGTTGGAGATGGGATACAGGACACAACTGGAAGTTGAAAACTCAGATGAGTCATATGGATGTTAGGAAGTATTTCTTCAGTCTTAAAGTTGTCAGGAATTGGAACAATCTGGAAAGTGATGTAGTGGAGGCAGGATCCATACATAGCTTTAAGAAGAGGTACGATAAATCTTATGGAGCAGGAGAGAGTGGACCTAACAGCGACCAGCGAAGAGGCGGGGCCAGGAGCTGTGAGTCGACCCCTGCAACCACATATAAGTGAGTACACATATATACACACACAAACCTAACCAATAAGAACAATTTAAATGGGGCAATAACCCTATGCAAGGAAATAAAAACTTCAAGGCAAGAGGTGCAACACAAATGTATGCACCAAAAAAATTGGGACAAAGCTATAAACTGCTTAGTAGTATTGCAAGTGCAAAGGTAATGCAGTCAACTGAGCTCCACCTGGATGAGCACTGTGCAGTCATCCGACACTGTGCAGTGGAGTTTGTTGTGGAAGCATGATGTGAGCTAATACCCTTCATTGGGATGGCCAATTGGCAGTAAATCATCCGGGGCAGTAGTGGTAGACGTCGACGTAGTAACAGTGGTAGTAACAGCAGTGGTAGACGTAGTAACAGTGGTAGTAGCAGCAGTGGTAGACGTAGACGTAGTAACAGTGGTAGTAACAGCAGTGGTAGACGTAGTAACAGTGGTAGTAGCAGCAGTGGTAGACGTAGACGTAGTAACAGTGGTAGTAGCAACAGTAGCGGTAGGAGGAGAGTTAGCAGTAATAACAGTGGTCATGTGTAGTCATACTGAGTGAAGGGTGGGGAGAGAGCCTTTCGCTATACTTCTATCAGCCATCTAGACAGTGTTGGCGGAGGAGGGGGGTCTCCATTTATCTCTCTTTAAAATGCACTCACAGCTAATTCCTATGTACTCTACTATCCTCATCCTTCCTTTCTTTAAGTTACCTTCCTCCCTCCCACCTTCCTTCCCTCCCTCCCTCCTTCCCTCCCTCCCTCCCACCTTCCCTCCCTCCCTCCCTCCCTCCCTCCTTCCTTCCCTCCCTCCATCATAATAACACGCTCTCATACACGCCACACAAGGCAGACACTAGTGGTCCAGATAAGACCAAATTGTTAGACGGTCTGGACCACAAGAACCAACAGCCGGTGATTGTGACCATTGTGGCCTCTAGTAGCAGGTGAGAGGAGAGAGAGAGAGAGAGAGAGAGAGAGAGAGAGAGAGAGAGAGAGAGAGAGAGAGAGAGAGAGAGAGAGAGAGAGAGAGAGAGAGAGAGAGAGAGAGAGAGATGATGTACGTAACAGCTCTTAGCTTGTAAATAAAGTTAGGAACGCTAACTTAACCTTGTGAAATCCTGTGTAAAGAGAGAGAGAGAGAGAGATAAAGATGCAGGTTATATTGGCTTCTGAGAAAACACAGTTGACTCTGTTACATGACTGTGTCACATGACGGTGTCACATGACTGTGTCACATGACGGTGTCACATGACTGTGTCACATGACGGTGTCACATGACTGTGTCACATGACGGTGTCACATGACTGTGTCACATGACTGTGTCATATGACGGTGTCACATGACTGTGTAATATGACGGTGTCACATGACGGTGTCACATGACGGTGTCACATGACTGTGTCACATGACGGTGTAACATTACGGTGTTACATTACGGTGTTATATGACAGTTTCACATAACAGTGTCACATTACGGTGACACATGACAGTGTCACGTGACGGTGTCACATTACGGTGTTACATGACAGTTTCACATGACAGTGTCACATAACGGTGTCACATGACAGTGTCACATTACGGTGCCATGTGACACTCACATAACGATATCACCTGAAGGTGTCACATGAGGATGTCACATAACGGTGTCCACAATCATGTCCCTGATGAGAGTGTCGTGATGATAGTGAGCGCACCAAACTCCGCTCACCAGACATAATGTGTACATCCTGCAGGTGAAATATGACTCTGTAGTGACTATGGAGAATCAAGCAGTGAATCTTGTAAGCACGACACCCAATACGCGTGTTGCATCTCGTGCCTGCACGCCAACAGAAGCTGCATCACTCTGTACGAGGCGTAAGCGTGCTCTCACCTAAAGTAAGCACCACTCTCTTGGATCACCTTTCCTCTCTATCCCATCTTCAACTCATTTTCAAGTGTAATCAAGCAATACCATGCGACTCACCTGGACCCTGCCTGGTTTAGCATGCCATTTCAGCTAAGCCTTCAGCACCGGATGCATGTCTGTTCTTATGCAGTTACGTACAAGGCCACCATTGTCTG